CCGCGTGCGAGTGCAGCTGTTGGAGCAGCTCGGGGAAGGCGGGCCTGTGCGAAGGTTTCCACCGCCAGCAGCTCCTCATGACCCCGTACCTGCGGGCAACCAGAGACGGGTCTGTCCCCTGCGCCCCGACGGCACCTGGAGAAGCGCAGGCCCGGCGGGGCAGACACCGCGGCCGTGCCGGTTAAAACGGCCTGGGGTGATTTTCAAGGAAGAAGTTAACTTGAACACGGTGGGAGCGGAGATGGCTGCTCTCTGCTCGGATTCATTCCAGGCACTTTCCAGGCCACGCTGCCCTTTGGGTTGGGAGCTGGAAAGCGGCTGGGTATCAGGGGCCTTAGGTTTTTATTATTGTCCAGCACTGTTCCAAAAAGCCTGGGGACAGTGTGTCTGACTTTGATAACACGTTTTAACCCCAGGGACATATTTTCCCCGCTCTGCCGTCCCTAGCAAATGGGGACTTTCGCTCTGTTGAGTGACAGCAGCAGTGGAGCGCACCTGTGTGCCCCGGGCCAGGTGCTCGCCCTGCCTCCCTCCGACCTGGTGTCTCCCACCCTGCTGCTTGTCAGGTCTTGTCTCCCTCTGCAACAGTCTGAACCTGAGCGCTAACGCTGCTTGTTACCAATTCCTTTCCAAAGGCTGGCGATAAAGGAGGGGCAGGAGCAGGAGCAGGCCCTTGGGGAGGACACGGGGTGGTTCCACTCAAGTGAAGGAGGTGGCAGCGTGGAGGGAGAGGAGAAAGGTCGGCTGCGCCCTAGGATCAGTGGGTTCTCATGGGGGGGAGGGGAGGTCAATAGTTTTGATTCACTGAGTCCCCGGTGAACAGTGCTGGGTGGCTCAGGAGGTGAGCAGTGGGCTACAGCATTCTCTCTTTTCCAGTCTAATGGACAGATGGTGACTGCTGGTGATTTGGTGGCTCCCCTGGGAAACAAGATGCTGGGTCTCAGCTCAGTTCCCAGTGGACAAGTATCCCAACACAAATGCCCCTGGAGGATGTACCTCAAGCCAGCAGTCTCAGAAGACAAGGAGCAGATGGGCCTTCTGCATGGGAGTGGTCCCTCCAGCTCAGGGCAGTGCTATCTGCACTACAGAAAGAGCCAAGGCTGCCAGTCCAGTAGCAGAGTCACTTAAAAACAATGTGGGGGAGACATAACAGGGAACGCAAGTGCTGGAGAGGTCCCTGGTGGGCAGCGGGGTTTGCACAGGTCCCAGAACAAAGCAAGGCTGTCTCAGAGAAACAGGAAATCGGCTGAAGGTGGCCTCCAGAGGTATCTAGTTCAGCCCCGCTCAGGGCACAATCACCTCTACCCAAGCCATCCCATACAAGTCCTCGTCTAACCTATTCCTAAAACTACATAATCAGACCTATCACACAGCTACAAGGCATGTTACGCCAAAACACCATAAGCACCCTAACCTGCCACAAGTGAAGCAGGAGAGCAAGGGCCCTGTCAGTGTCCCACCGCTGCAAGGGTTAGAATCTACTCAAGCGATCCGAGGAAGAGGACTGTGCCCCCCACACAGAGGAGGGCAACCCCCCGCCCCTGCCAAGTCCATGCCTACCTGACTACACTAAAATTCTTTTCTGACCCCAAATGCGGCAATCGATCTGACCCTGAGCAAAAGAGCAAGACCTTACAGCCGGGAACCGGGTTTTAGTCCCAGCAGCAAGGGATGCTCTGAGGGGCTGATGAAGCAACCTGGGAAGGGTGGAAGAACTGTGCGAACAGAACCCATGTAAAGCTGGGATGGTTTAGTCAGGATGCTTCTGCCCTGAGCAGAGGGCTGAACTAATGGCCTCATGAGATCCCTTCCAGCCTGACTAAATGAAGACGTGGTAATCCTTTGCCTAGGGCACAACGTGCTTCAGTGCCTAGGATTTCAGGCACAATGGGAAGCTGGTCCCTGAATGTGATGGTTCAGGTCCTGTGGACATGACACCACATGCTGTGGCTGTCCTGGGTTGGGGCAAGAGCTACCTGTCTTGTCTTGGACTGGTCATTGTGCAGGGTCAGCATCACTTACAGCCTGGTGCTGCACTGCTCCGGTCTCTTCATGCGCTGCTCTCGCTGCAGGGCGGCCAGAACGTCTGCAGGCCGCAGGGTTGGGTACGGAGGGGCACCTGGAGACGGGGAGGGAGCAGCCATCAGAGGAGCACTGGTCCATGTGCAGTGCAGACACGGGCTCTCCTACATCTGGACTCTGGGCTCAGGAGAGCAGTGCAAGTGGGTCAGGACCAGGGGGAGGCAAAGGAGCCTGGCATAAGGAACAAGGGGAAGGGACTGAGTTCCAGCAGCCTACGGGGCCCCATGAGCTGCCCAGATTTGTTCCCTGGCCTCTATGGTCAGATAGGCATGCAGCAGTTAA